ACACACACACACACACACACACACACACACACACACACACACACACACACCCTGTGTGACAAATACGGAATTTAAAAAGCGAAGTTTTATACTAACATCCACACTGGCGAGGGGCGCGCCCTGCGTGTACCCAAAGCGTGATGTCATGCTGTTGAAATGAGTCTTGTCGGGGAGGGGTCTGTGGGTTAGGGTCGTGAGGTGGAGGAAAGAAATTAATGTGTTGTGTGAACTTTTATAAGATTTAAGTTTTTATTTCAAAGCTCCTTTTGGCTCAGCAGCAGAAGCATAAATATTACTGTTAAGAAAGCTGATGATAAAGTTGAATAAAAATCTAGTCTGATTATGAAGTGAAATTAAATATCTGACAGTGATCATGACGCAGTGTGGTTATAATTATTCACTTCACCATCTGTGTCGCTAAAGTCGCAGCTTCCCGTCTCCAAAATGAGCATACGCATGGGTCAGAGCTGGCGTGAGGCACCGCACATTTTCACGTCAAGTTTGGATTTTATAAATCACAACCTTGGCGTAAAAAGTGRCGTACGCAAGTTTCTAGGCTCATAATGTGTGTACGYAAGTTTTATAAATCTGACCCCAGGTCAGGTCAGAGTTGATGTGGATACCCAGGAGTTTGATGGTTGTCCACACACTCCACCATCTCCCCTTGAATAGTTATAGGTGCATGCACTGTCTTCCTGGACCTCCTATAGTCCACTACGACCTCCTTGGTCTGACTGGTGTTGAGCACCAGATTGTTTAATGAACAGCACTGGGAAAGGTGCTGGATCTCCTCTCTGTAGTAGGTCTCATCATTGTTCGTTATCAGACCCACTACGGTGGTATCATCAGTAAGCTTTAGAACCCTGTTAGAGGAGTGGATGGCTGCACAGTCGTGGGTGAACAGTGTAAAGAGACCTGGACTAAACACACAACCCTGTGGTGTGCCTATACTGAGGACCAGAGTGGATGATGTTTGGTTCCCTATTCTCACCACCCCAAATGAAAAACATTCCCTATTTAAAGAGCTATCATTAACAGAAATGTTTTAATTGATCATAGTTTTTACACAGAACCCAACCTTAAATTGGCCAAAATATGACTTGAAGCTAAATGATACCACACAAATCACAAGTTAGTTTCTGATGGTCATTTTCAGAGAATGTTAGTAAACTGGGATGTAGACCAAAATCTTTTACTGTAGTTTCACTGGCAGAAAAAAAGGTTTTGTAAAACCTTTTTTTTGCCGTCGACAAATAAACACTTACTTGTCTTCTCTAAGTTGGGTAAAGATAAGAAGAAACGTCAAGTTAGACAAAAAGATTAGAAAAGAACTGAGAGAACAGAAAAAGGATGTAGTTAATGACTTACGGCTTTTTCCCCTCCAGAGTGTTGAGGTGCGTCTCCAAAGACTCCAGAAGACTTTCTGGGGCCTGCAGAAAAATACAGTTTGCTACTGACACCAACCTGAATCATGTTTAATAGATTGAAACCATTTTCAGGTTGGACTTCAAATGTCGAAAATGGCAATAAATGAAGGAATGACTGCATCTTATACCAACTACCCTCATGTACACTAATTTATTTTATCACAAATAAAGTTCTGTTCTTTACACAACAGTCTATCAAATGTACTCATCTCTACTGTGTTTTTTGTGCTTCAATAGTCCAAACCATTAATTAAACAAAATCAAAATTTAATCAAAGAGAAATCTAAATTTCAATCTGCAGCCAGCAGGGATGCAAAGCTGAATGCAGGCGACACACAAACATGCAGMGAAAAGATCTGCTCAACATCCAGCCTTCCTAACATTTATTTAATGCCTTCAGGTCCATTATGCTAAATTTTCCAAGCAGCTCGACAGCCAGGCTGATGGTTGTTTTGTCCCTGTGAGAGATGGAGTGGCCCATTTATCACCCTGGGATTCTGAGGCGCCATTCCTCGCCACTAAATACGAGCAGAGCTGTTCAACGGACAGAGAACAGATTCGACAACTCAATTAGAGCCGAGCTTCGACACGAACAAATCTGATCTGAGAAGGACGATTTACCAGCTGCTGAACCATCTCTTCTGCTACAAGAAGTATAAAACTGTACACAGAAACTTCTCATATGACTTACACTGACTTCATATTTACTGCATCTGTTTGATGCTTTCAAAAAATGGTAAATTGATTGAACTTATATAGCACCTTATCAAGTCATTCAGGCATTCACCCATGGAAAGCTACAGCCACAGCMGGACCCTCTGACCACCATCAGCAGACAAGGTGGGGAAGTGTCTTGCCCAAGGACACAGCCACAAACACCAAGCTCTGTCATATATTAAAACATCTTATTGTTCCATATTTTCCTAACAGAGTACTTCACTCTCAGACTGCAGGTTTACTTG